AAATTCTGGAAAGATGTAGTTAATGAGTTATATTGTAGTAGTTTTATCTGGTTTCCAAACCATGTACAGGGTGTATAAAAAAAAACGCAACCACTTAATATTGATGAATATCCTCTTTGTTTTACAACACAAAAGACGTTTGGCCCCTGGAATGCGAGAAAGCTTGTACTGATCATATTCTAGCGGCACAATCGTCGGTAAACAAAGTCGGGTGCGTAAACCAACGAGCTGAATTGAAAGTATTTAACGAGTAAAATTTTATTTACAATTTATTTTACAAGGTCGACAGTTAGCATTCAAGTTATCATGCACGACAATAAAAACTCGTTGTTCGGTTGTTAGCTGCACCATTATTAGTTTAGCTGATTTGACTATTAGCAGTTGAAATGTACGATTAGAAGCCATTTTAAAATCCCAGGGGCATAAAATCTATTGAGCTTATGAACAATATGAATTTTAGAATATTAAGTGGTTGCGTTTTTTTTTATACACCCTGTATATTCTATTTAACTGTGGTTAGGCCTAGGTTAAACGTCGCATTTTAGTCGCGTCGAATGCAATGCAAACAATAGATAATGAGATGATAAACCTCATTAAGCATTATCATCTCATTAGCTTGTTCGAATTGCAGTGTAGTTATTTAACTGAACAAATCGTCTTTAACGTCAGGAAACAAAGAAAACAAAAGACCAGTTTCCAGCTAATTAACATAGAAATCTTATTTAAGTTATTCTATAGAGAATCTAGCAAAACACATCTGCACATGTAGTTGTATAACTTCGCCTAAAATAAAAGAAGTTCACGAAGATAGATGCTAAGTCTAGGTAAATGTTGGCCAGTAAATACTGTATTCAAGCCGAACAGTTATTGTCGAATCAGAATTTCGTTTCTGACCATGTTACCCGCCATTTTAAGGCGGTTCAAAGTGCAAGCAAGTAATATGATTATAAACAATTGAATATGTTGTAAAAATATATTGTAGCTTCCAACTCCGAGAGCAATTCTCTTAGTATTTCTGTATTTCTTGAAGTATCTCCTATTTTGGGGCAATATTTTTTTCTGTAACTCGTATTTAATTCATCTTTACTTCATCATTTTCATGCAGGTCACCAATGTTACCAGAAAGTTATTGTAGGTGCATGGAGGACTATATGAGACCACGAGGTGAGACCATAATGCTAAACTCGAACTTCTTATTTATGATTCGCTGTTAAAGCTTTCCTTATTAGACTAAAATATCGATATCTCAAATATTTTTCCACTTTATACTAGCATTATAGTTGGTTGATTTTTAAATAAAATTCGTGGCGTAGCAGTCGTCGTTTTAGACGTCGAACTTTTCATGTGCCGAACCTAATGTTGATGTACTAAAGTTTTTGTTTAAAACTTTAAGTTAATTTGCATTCGATTCAGCACATGAAAAGTTCGACGTCTGAAACGGGTCTACATAGTTATAAAGATCGTCCATATTGTAAGGGGCTAAATTTGGAGTCACTTTATTACCAATAATTATCTCTTCAGGGGCAGCAATAGTGAGCAACAACGACGATAGTAAATGAAGTGCTCGAAAGTCAAAATTGCCATAAAATTTTGCTTGTGGTAAGTGTGGAAGAAATCGTGAGGAGAAAAGAACAACCACGATTAAGGTAGGACAAAATGAAATAGAGTTTCATCGGCAGGGTTAAGCTGGGTGCTGTAGTTAGAACAACCAGATTACAGGGGAGGTTAAAGACAGCCCTATAGGTACTATAGGTGGCATAGAGCACTCCACCACGTTTCCAGTAGTTTCCAGTAAACTGAATTGAATTTTTAACCATATTAAGTTATTGAAAGATATGTGGTTTAGAGTGTTTCTTCATCTCACTTAATATGTCTCGAGTGCATTTAAGTTTCTCGATTCTGTGTATGCCCAAGTCTGAATATCCATCTTTTGTGCTGTTTTTCGTACTCATTGTCTGCTGTGGATCATTGAGCGAAGTTTCGTTGACATTGTTGTTGGAATTGTTATCTCTGATTTCACTAAAACTATAATAAGTCATTGAGCTTTCGCCCTCAATATCGTCCCAATCACTTTGCATTTCGTTTAAAGTGTTAACGGGTTGTGGCTCGATATTTTGAATCCTTGGAATATCTTCAATGTTATGATGACTTTCACGGTCTTCGGCCTCGATATCGTTAACAGATGATTCGTTATTATAACTGTCCGAATGGCTGCTGTTACTAAGTTGCTCTCGTTCCGTGGAGATTATCTGTGTTGAGAGAAATGTACATGGACGTAATTGACTTTCTCGTGTAACAACCAATGAACCATGTGCATGAGCATGCTGCGAATTGGCCACTTGCATAGGAAATTTCCAAAAAGAACATACTAAACTTAGTAAAACTTCCAAGTTTGGCTGCTAAATATTTGAAAGTACTGAAGATTTAGCCAAGCGAAATTGGCAAATTTCGTGATACGTTTGTACTATGGCCGGAAGAGCGTAATTAAATTAATTACACATTTCTGCTCAAATTGAAATCTTTGCCAAATTTACATCATTTATCAACCATCATTTAGTTTAATTGACAGCTAGCTAGTGACTTAGACTACATAATGACCACTCCTCATGAAAACAGGTACGCAACGCGTACAAGTCGTTGCCTACGAAGTTTACCAGTCGATATTTCAACAATTAGTATTAGCATTTATTTTAGAGTTTAGGTGTTTTCTCATAATGTGTTCAAAACAAATAATTTTTGGAGAACGAATACAGAGATTTGATCCGTACGCTATTAACTCACCTTAAAATGATGCAACATTCTTTGTGTGGTCTCGGAATGAAAACAATGACAACACAAACGGGAAATAAGAGTAAATAAAAGTGACCGTCTGATGGTCTCGAATATTTGCGTGCCCAGGTACCATCCAATTGAAGCCGAAACTGTGACAGCTGAACTTATTAACAGCGGTATGACAAGCATTCCACCCATTACCGGCAGGAACCCGAGCAACAAGAGAAAAACCATTAAAAGAATTCCACCCAGAATGAGAAATATTGGAATGAATAGACCAATGAGCAGCAATGTTGCTACATAGAGTCTTCCAGTTTCATAGATAAACAGTAAGGAGTTTTTCAGTGGGAATAATACAGAAAATATATCTTCTTTCCAACTATCCAGAAGATCAGTTGCGAAGATATGTGCAATTCCTAACAGCAGAGTAGAAAATGAAATTAGTTAGTTGGGACAATCAGTGAACTCAAATAAGACTGGAGCTTTGAAGTCAAGATGGCGGACACTGAAGCCTTTTTTGTAGGTATGATTCAGGCCTCCGCACCAGAGGATCCTATCCTGGATCATATCTACAAGAAAGGCTTCATGATCCGCCATCTTGGCTTCACTCATTAATGAGGGAAAGTCAGAGAGTGAGCGTTCCAGTCTTATTTGAGTTCACTGGGGACAACTCGTGCAACAGCATATACTCGTTTGGCATATCGACGTGATATCGTCGTAAAGTAGAGGATATACCTTTAGCAAGTACGCGGCTCTCTTCTTTCTTGGAAAGTAAATTAATTTTGCTTGAAGATTCTTTGGGTTCGCCATCAAAAAATTGTTCAATGTTATCAATTCTTGTTTCAGTCATGTTTCTCGAGATACATTATCCGGTTACTCCTGTGCAAAAGAGTTTTTGTCTGAATAATTCATTGATAAACCTTTGAGTAAACTTTTGGATCGAAGATTTAGTATAGTAACTTCTATATCCACCCAACTTGTGTCCAGTATTGACAGTAGGAAGTCTGATACTGAAAGTGCAGTTGCCTCAAAATCAAAACTTTCGAAGATCATAAGTGCATTCGGTCGATTTACAAAAGCTATAATAACTCCGATTTGAATGTAAATTACCCGATAATTTGGGTAATGACGTAAAACAGGATATTCTCTATTCACGTGTACACTCGTGTACTATTTGATTTCTCAACTATTTATTGTCCAGGGGCCGGTTGTGCGAAAGCTGGATAGCGCTATCCACCGGATAGTGAAATTTTCCATAGCTCTAAAATCGCCCATTTTTTGCCTTGAATAAACTTTAGTATTCTTAAATTAAAAAATCACATCCAGCTTCAGTACAACCGATCTCTGCAATATAACTTCAATATAATTTCCATTCAATGTAATTTACATAAAACTCGGATACTTACCACATTTTGAATCCGTGCTTCACAAAAAACCACCATCATCAAAACATGACCCTTTTTGGTAATTTTATGACGTGGACAAATATATAAATTTGCTTGCGCGCGTGGCGTTTTAGACGTTAAAAATTTGCATGCTGATTTCCAATCTCGTGTACTATTTTAATGTCTGTTCACACGATCCAATTTTGTTGGATCGAATTAACTTCTAACGTACAAAATATAGTCGGTTATTGATAAAGCATACAGTACTGCATTGTCTTCAGTGGATTTGCTGCTCGTATACATTACAAGACAACAGACTATGAAATATCCATCAGAAGTGAATTGGATGCAACAAAATTGGTCGTGTGAACAGACCTTTAGAAAGTTTAAATTAATTGCATGTATATAAGTTATTAATATTTAATACTCAAACGACACAAACTTTGGTCGCAGTCGCACATACATGTGTAATTATTATTAAGGTATAGTTTGTAATCATGCAGCACCAAACGCATGGTGCGGTGGTTACTCAGAGTGTCTTCTCGAACCCTGAAATCTACTGTGTCTCAATTTTTGACTCTCGTATTCCGTACATAAACAGCCATACAATAGCAGATGCTGCTGATACATATAATTACATTCTTAAAACTAATATTTAAATAATTATATAGAAACAACACACGCTCCATGTTTAATTAAAGGGGTCATATACCTCAAAAATTAACAAGATTTGAATGATACAACTTATTAAATATCTAGTATAGTAGAATTGTCAATAGCACATTCAAGGATGGGATGATTTTAATGAAACTCACTTGCTCACTTGTAGGATAGGTGTCAAAAGATTAGGGAGATAGTTGCGTGCGTCCACTTTTCATCTTCGGTCCAAAAAGTAGGTACCGACATTGGATACCAAATAACATTTCCGGTTCCCGTACATTTTTTATCTAGAATATGGCAGAGAATGCCGGCAGTAGTCGGTGGAAACCTTTACTAAAAGCTGTGAATGTTTGTACGAGTATATTACTTATCAAATTGACAACGTTAATTGATTGCCATCATCCTTGGATACCTTTTAAAATTCTCTTCGCTTCATTCTTCAGCAAAGGTCTTGACCAAAAAAAGATGATGCAATTTAGGCTAGAGTTTAAGAATGCAATAGCGACCGACCATGACTGAAGAACACGAAACAGTAAAATATCAAGACGACCAGAGTACGCCGAAACAACAACAATGGGGAAAGAACAAAATACAAATGCGAGTAGGACAAGAAAACACGACTTAGCTAGCTTCATTTCTTTCAAGAAATATCTTTTGTTTTTTGAATTTGCTAAAATCCCTGCGGGCGTACCATCACCTGGCCTGTTTTCCAATCGAAATCTTTTCCTGGTTTCCAGAAATATTCTTGTATATAAGAAAGCTTGAAAAGCCAGAGACACGGATAGATTTCCTGTGACTAGGATATAATACGCCTCCCGATATATTAGCACGAAAACGAAACATATCAGAACCACACCACAATGGCAGCACATTGATATCAGAAGAAATCTCCTTGCGCTTCGAGTGCGATGAAAGAAAGGATGTAAAACTGCCAAGTATCTCTCTAAACTCAGCGTACATAACGTAGCAGGCGACAAGCTTAGCGGAAGCAAAGCAAATAGCCAAACAAAAAAATTTACAACGCATTTTGCAGTTCCCAAAACTTCACTTGCCTGAATGTACATGTACAAGGGTGCGGACACAAATACGATACACAAATCAACCGCGGACTGTACGAGGATAAGTTGGTAACAAACCTTTTCTTTCAGTTGAGAGCATTTTAAAATAGTCGAAATAGATACAGAATTCAATACCACGGCAGAAATGATTAATATGACAGTCACGAAACACACAATAACTTGACTGATGACATATGAATTCGAGGGAAACTGAATGATACTTTCTGATGTGCCATGAGGAACGAAACATTTTTCAATGTATTTAGTACCCATCATCGTTGTTAAATTCATAGCTAGGAGATATACCAGTTGGATCTTTCTTACAAAGAACGAATTATATAATGATCAGAAAGAGCAATTAGCCTAACGAAACGCAGGTGCTTTTATCCACGAAAATGATTCGTCATTGACATTTTAAGTTCATTAAAATTCAGTGCAATTAATAAACAATAAAAAATCATTAAGAAAACGTTATATTGCGTGATTGTTTTCCCATCCACTCACTTTAGGGGGATCAACATAGTACAGTGTCTGCGCATTAGCAGCGCTGGTAACAATGGCTAACCTGAACACAGACCTACGTTGCTTGCCCCACAAGTTACTCGCATGTGACTGCATGTGTTCTCATTGAAGGATAAGTTTGGCAATAGAAACACATAAAGAACTTTGAATGTAAATGAACTTTGAATCTGAAACCCTCTGAGACCCTGGCCATCTACTACATTCATCCTTACGTGTTATCATTTCCCACAGCTATACATTTTACACAAGAGACAGTTTGAACTAAACGAATTAAAACAATTGAATTGCTCAATATTCACTCTGGAGTGCAAATTATGAAGTATAAATCAATATTTATCTCGTGCATCGTTTTCGATTCCTACATACTGCTAGTATTAGTTTGGTAAAAAGTTATAGTTAATTGCGCAAGTCATTGTTTTATATTGTACATTTTAAAATTGCCGATTTCCATTATTATAACATAGTACGGTTAGGAGAATTTCATAGCATGATTATAAATTTTATAATAATAATAAATATTGTAACAAAATGTATAAAACTTGCGTGATCGTGTGACTTCACCTACGTACTCAATAATTACAATGCTATACAATCTACGAGTTGTTTAAGAGTTACTCAGTCTCTACATTATTTGGCTTAGATAAAGTTCTGGGAGGTTTCTTGATACGTGGTGCTACAGGCGGACTGTATTTCCGCCCCTGTTGAGTAAGACCTGGTGACGAAGACCGCAATGAAGGAAATGTTTCTTGTTGTTTTGGTGGGACTGTATTATCCCTGTGGTGTGCCTTTGGAGGTAGCATCGGAGGATCTTTTTGCGAAGCATTTTGGGATACTACAGTGTTTGGAACGGCATTTGCTATATTGTCATAAGTTGTATTTAAAGTATGCCCACCCGATAGACGCCTAGGTACGTGGTGTTCATACACATTTGATGTACCGTTCGCCTGATCTGTTTGACCTGGAAAATCTCTAAGGTGTGGTTTGTCGTAATTAACATCGGGTGTTTTGCATAAGACGACATTATCGTATGCAGTAACCGCGTCTGGATGGCTCAACTCCAAGCCTAAATTCCATTCATTGCCATCACTTGCGCCATCCTTTCTGTCAGAATGGTTAGTTCGACTCGGTAAGGCTAAGACGTCATACGGATCTGGTTCGTAAGCGTCCGTGTTGGGATGAGGTGAATTATGTTGTGGTAGAGTAATTCCTCCATCTAAGTTAGCATACCGATGTTTTTTATTTCCCTCGATTTTCTGTCCATTTTGCGCATGACTCGATGAGGTCCTTGGTGTGAATTTGACAGTGTTATAAGTATTCTCCCGTGAAGTAGAGCGAAGGGCAACATTGGGAGGTATGGCTAAAAAATCGTAACCATCCTGTGAACGAGAATCAAGTCTTGTCGTCTTTTTCCGAGGAAATA